AACTACGTGAAGCGGAAGAAATATGGACGAGAAGAGTCCAGGGTGATTCTTACCGTGATGAACTCATATGTCTTCAACAAGGACATCCGATCAAAAACAAGAGCCAGCTCTCAGGCATGACCGTTGGGTTGTTGGACGGCATCATTTGCCTCGACTCTCGCGTGAAGCGGTCTCCAGAGCTGTCACCGACTGCGAGAAATCCGCCGGTGCTAGCCCGTGACCACAAATACACGGAGCTACTGATCGAGCACCTGCACCAGAAAATGGGACACCGAGCGCACGACGCAGTTCTGGTGAGCCTCCGACAGAAGTGTTGGGTGCCGCAAGCCGCTCGCAAGATTCGCTCGCTTGTGGCAAGATGTCAGACCTGTAGGGTGCGGAAGGGGAAGCCGCAGACGACAAGAATGGCTCCGCTTCCGTTGGCCCGAGTCACTATGCTCGAAGGCGCCTTTCGGGCGACTGGTATGGACTATTTCGGCCCGATGAAGGTGAAACGGGGGAAGACAGTGACGAAGATCTGGGGCGTACTGTTTAGATGTCTAGCCACGCGTGCCGTGCACATAGAGCTGACGGACAGCCTGGACACTGACACGGCCCTGATGGTGATATCAAGATTCCAGGCGCGACGAGGAAACGTGCAAGAACTATGGTCAGATAATGGCAAGAATCTCACCTCGGCAAACAAGACTCTGAACAAGCAACTCAGAGCACTGAACCGAGACAAGATGATGGCAAAGCTGTCTCTGGAGGGAATCAAGTGGCGATTCATCCCGCCGTCCGATCCTGAGGCAGGTGGCGCTTGGGAGCGCGCCATTCGTACGGTGAAAGACACGCTAAAGATCGTCTTGAAGGAGCAGACCCCGCGGTTCGAGGTGCTACAGACGGTCATGGCAGAAGTGGAGAAAATCATCAATTCGACGCCGCTGTTCCACGTCCCAGTGGATGCAGCTGATGACGATGTGCTCACGCCGTTCCACTTCCTCATCGGCCGCGCTACCCCTGCTTACCCGGTGGGCTCGCAGGTGCAAAGCAGTGAGTGTCTTCGTCGAAGATGGAAGCACGCTCAGGTGCTAGCCGACCATTTCTGGAGAAGATGGGCACGAGAATATCTCCCTACGCTAGCAGGGAGAACAGATCGAAGTGGATCCAGTCGTCTCGCAACGTGGAGGAGGGAGACGTGATCGTTGCAGATCCTCAGCATCCCCGTGGACTGTGGGTCAGAGGAGTGGTCACGGACACTGTGCGTGGCCCTGATGGAGTGGTGCGATCGGCTCGCGTGCGGACGGTGCATGGAGTGCTGCACCGCCCCGTTCGCAAACTCGTAGTGCTACAAGTACTTCGCTGTACATAAGATGTGCCTATCGAGAGCCATCCGTGCCGCGATTGAAGTAATAGAACATGCCAGCCGTCACATATTGTCTCAACATGCATTGTTGAGAGAGGCCGGGGTGTGACGGACCAGATACGTTTATATATCGATAAATATCTTCCAGTGGAAGAGCTGATGATGCAGCAGATATTTCGCCACATTGGAAGAACCTTTAAACGTGTATTTGTCTCGTGGATTTTATTTTTAGTTTTGTTTGGTGCGACCGCTGAACTTTGCAAAACAGGCGATCGATTTTCATTCTTTATTATTATCAGTATAAATTTGCATACATTTGGTTTAAAACGAATAAACAGATGTGTTGCGCAATTTTGCTGGTATGATGAATAGAAGAAGATCGCCTCGGTGGACAAACGAGTCCGCTACAACAGTATTGTGACTGATTAGCAGGTGGTGTTGATTTCGTAATAGTATAGGCCTAATGATTCCGTGTACGTACTGTGACATGCGTGTTGTAACCGGTTGAAATAAAATCAATTTTTCTTCAACTAGATTGATACGGACTGACTTAACTTGTCCAATAGCAATAGCATTTTAAATATTTCGCATTTCATTCCTGCGCTGTTGATAATGTATAAGATGTGTTTTCGCGTCCTCATAGTATTTTCATTAAATATTACACCACGGGGCTGCTATGGTAAGCATAAAATAAATGCACTTCATATGTCCCGGAAACATTTCAAACAACATCCAAAAATTTTTCACCTCAATATTATTCGCTCTCAAGCGCCCAGAGGCTCCGACAGGCGAAACTGTATTTTTGTCGCGCTAAATGCGGCCGCCCGCCCATTGTGAGACGGTGAGAGCGCAAACACTGGTTGGAACAGCGGCCTCTAGAAGCGAGTGAACGACTGGTTGGGGCGTGCCCTTATCACGATATGGTGTGTACCTACTGTGTATGCCACAGAAGTGACTTGGCACCAGAAAGTGTAGAAAAGACTGTTTCGGAGATCCTCCACTGGAAGACGGATCTCTGTGCCTTCACGACCCACTTCTTCCGCAGTTCCGCACTTCTTGTTTGTTTATTGGGGCTTTAGGGCGCGCCGACTGCAAAGGTCATTTTGCGCCCATACCTCCGCACTTCTAAGTCAAGAACAAAAAAAGTTGCGAGAAATCAGCGACGAAGTGCAGGTGTTCCCTGCGATGTTCGAGGTCCGCTTTGCAGAACACCTTCTGGCCTCCATCAAAGCGATTCTTAAAGGTAGTGTGCCAGCTTTCTTGGACCGTATGGAGTTAATGGCCCAGATAAGAACCGGATTTTTAGAACTTATCCATACCTTCAAAACTCATGGAAACGTCTTAAATTCTTCAAATTTTGAGTACCCCAGTGCGAAATTCGCCCCGACGGGTTGTCGGTCGTACCCCAACCACATTTCACACCACTATGAACAATAAATGCACACACTGAAATCGCTATTACCGATATGCTCATCCAATCAAGTTTCGATAAACCCGTTCATCATCATCTCCTGCGGTTTCGAACACGCCTGTTAGGTGGCTTCTGATGCTCGTCGAGGTCGGAATTTCCAAATACGCGTGGTGCGTCGGGCCGCGCGCTCTGACTTCGGCCAAGAAAAATGCGTCAGCTGATCATTGTCATTTCTGCCACTTGCGTGTGGTGAAATGGGGTCATAACTCATAAGACGGCTTTTTCATATCAATTATTTTACATAAAATCATATTTCAAACCATAAATAATGTTCGACAGCCAAATAAAAGAAACAATACCAATACGGGCTTACAGTTTAAGGCCTCGACATTGTGTTGTCTACGATTAGACAGCTGATAACTCATTCCCGTACGTCGTATGGTCGTAACACTATAATGACCTTTGCTTATTGTCACAAGTGCGCCGCATTCGCGATTGTTGCCCGACGCCTGTTCGCAGGTGAGCCCACTACAGTTGTTATACATATCTAAAAACCGAAAAACTTTTAGGCGAAAAAGGCACTATTCCAGGCCCATTTTTGATTTTTTTTTTTGCGATATTAGGTAAAAACAGAAGCTTCTTATCCTAGGAAAAATAAAATGGGAAATCTTTCAAAGGTGGCACACTACCTTTAAGAACATTGAAGCGTGCAGAGGTGTGGCGAGAGGCGGCAGAGACCGGGACGAGAACAGAAAAGGCGGAAGCGTCTGGTTTGGAAGTGGGCGTCAGACGGTCGCACGCTGGGCCTGACGGCGCTGATGGCTGATGTCTGCACCATCTACTGCCACCTGCAGAAGACGCTGCAGCGCGGCGATCTGGTGCTGCCGAGTGCCGGAGGTGCTGCAGACACGAAATCCGACCCTGCTCCAGCTGGAAATGATGACCGACGGACCTCTGCCTGGTGGTGAAGAAGAAAAGCTCGGCCCGCGCTCGAAAGAAACCCCTGCTCGGAGCCACAACGGCAACGTGACATCGCAGCGGAGCGTAAATGCGGTGCGACAGGAGGTTGTAGGGCATGCTACAAGCTTCCTACAGGACAGACTCCACGTCGAGCAAACAGTCGTCAAGACCATGATGGACTTCTTCAGGCGCCTACTGCGAAGCAGTTCGTCTCTGCGAGCCGGAGTCTGGCTAGCGGTCTGTTCGGAGCCGAATGTGTTACGCAGCTGACGGCAGACGTATGCGACTCGTGGGCTCGGATGAGCAGCGAGAGAGACCGCCACAGTTCGATGACGGAGCAGCTTAATGCGATGGCAAGGAGCGCTACCGGATTATACCAGAAGCTGCTGTTGTCTGTGCTGTGTGTGACCCCGCACAGAATGGCGACGGAGCGCGCGGTATCGCGCTTAAACCTAGTGCGGAGCACACATCGCCTCAGTATGCAGATGGACACGGTCAACGATCGGCTGATCATCGGTGGAAACGGTGTCGGCACGGCGGCATTCAATCCTCGCCCAGCAGCGGCCGAGTTCCTGAGAAAAAAGGAGTGACGACGCCGGCTCCCCGGTCCGCTCAAATATGTACAAGACTCGCGACTTCGTCAAGTTCTTCCGGGCAGACGGGGCTGTCTGGGTCAGGTGGGATTGTGATCGAGAAATTGTGTAGTTGTGTTTAAAGTGCACACACAGTGACAAACTCTTCAGCCGTCGGAACAACAATGCATGCATTCACGACGCCACTCGCGATTTTGGCCAATTAAACGGACACGCTCTTTTTTGAGGAACTTGTTCTAAAACTTCACTATAAAACTTCATTATATGTAATGTCCCTGTTCTTTAGGAATAGGAACATCCTAGCAACTACGATACAGCGAAAATACATAATTTTGCTCTACAGCATACGCGCGGGAACCGGGGGGGGGGACAGTGGGGGGCACCTTGCCCCCCCCCCCAACTCTGGGGCCGTGGGGGTGGTGCCCCTACAACTTTGAGACGGAATACCGCACTTGCTTTTTTTAAGCCAAGGGATCAAAAATAAGTGGCCTAAAACCGGTGAGAAAACTCAAATTCGGGGTACCCTAGGTTGATCTCTATCCTGGTGTGCCCCCCTCCCCAGTCTGTAAGTAGTTCCCGCGTCGCTGCTCTATCGGGGAAACTTTTGGGCATTTGCCCACCTAGTGAAAATTCCTTATCCGAGGCCCTGGGCTGTTGCTATTCACAGATAAAGAAAACAAATTTAGTTTTATTTTATTAAATAACTGTCACATGATCAGCGATGTTTTCTTCGAACAGCAATCAGCAAAGATAGCACGCAATGCTCATAAAACATAACAATATTGATAACAATATCCTTCACGTAATGAAAACATCAATCAATAGTCAATACACATGACTGTCTAACTGGAAGCACCGTACGGAATTCTCCGCCACGTAACAACACAAAGATCAAAGGTTATCGGTAGTATCCGAAAATAGTCTTGAAATCGGTGTAGGTATAGAGATACTTGTCACCGTACCCGTACACGAGCGCTCCTTCGCCGTCGTCGTTATAGTATGGATAGCGGAACTTTGGCCTGCAATAAAGAGACTGGTCAATGCATGGACTGCATTCAGTTACTGGAATATAAACGTAAAGAGCTGTCCTGAAAGATCGCATCGAACGATCTTGAAACAAAATGAACATGCTACGCATTGTGATCGCTTTGACCATAATGGGCCGGACGTGAGAGAGAGAGACAGAGAGAGAGAGAGAGAGAGAGAGAGAGAGAGAGAGAGAGAGAGAGAGAGAGAGAGAGAGAGAGAGAGAGAGAGAGAGAGAGAGAGAGAGAGAGAGAGAGAGAGAGAGAGAGAGAGAGAGAGAGAGAGAGAGAGAGAGAGAGAGAGAGAGAGAGAGAGAGAGAGAGAGAGAGAGGAGAGAGAGAGAGAGAGAGAGAGAGAGAGAGAGAGAGAGAGAGAGAGAGAGAGAGAGAGAGAGAGAGAGAGAGAGAGAGAGAGAGAGAGAGAGAGAGAGAGAGAGAGAGAGAGAGAGAGAGAGAGAGAGAGAGAGAGAGAGAGAGAGAGAGAGAGAGAGAGAGAGAGAGAGAGAGAGAGAGAGAGAGAGAGAGAGAGAGAGAGAGAGAGAGAGAGAGAGAGAGAGAGAGAGAGAGAGAGAGAGAGAGAGAGAGAGAGAGAGAGAGAGAGAGAGAGAGAGAGAGAGAGAGAGAGAGAGAGAGAGAGAGAGAGAGAGAGAGAGAGAGAGAGAGAGAGAGAGAGAGAGAGAGAGAGAGAGAGAGAGAGAGAGAGAGAGAGAGAGAGAGAGAGAGAGAGAGAGAGAGAGAGAGAGAGAGAGAGAGAGAGAGAGAGAGAGAGAGAGAGAGAGAGAGAGAGAGAGAGAGAGAGAGAGAGAGAGAGAGAGAGAGAGAGAGAGAGAGAGAGAGAGAGAGAGAGAGAGAGAGAGAGAGAGAGAGAGAGAGAGAGAGAGAGAGAGAGAGAGAGAGAGAGAGAGAGAGAGAGAGAGAGAGAGAGAGAGAGAAGGATCGGGGAAAGAGGTTTGCTAAGGTGGAAATAGTGGCCGGAGCGAAACCAGAAAGAGAACGGAAAGGAGAGAAGGAAAGAAGAAAATGACCAAGGATGTGCTGACAGGCTTACCTTTGGTAATACGGAAAAACTTCTTTCGGGAACTCGAAGCTAAGGAACCGCGCATTCCTGGACGAAGGCTCCTCTTCTGCGGTGACCGCGGGCGCACTGCTGGTCTCCGCCTTTTCGGGAGCGGCGCGGCGGATCCGGCCCGCGGAGCCCGGCGACACCACCAGGGCGAGTAACAGCACGAGCAGCGGCAGCGCAGCCGAGTACACCTGCAAATCACATCCACTGTCAGCGTACAGCAGTGGTAGGAGCCACTGCCAGTGGATCACTGGATATTTTCCCCACGAAACGGTTGGCAAATAGACGGCAAACTCATGACGTGCGGATTAAGTTGATTTCATGCTTTTGTTCCAGAGCGCTAAATGAAAAGGTCAAATAATGGTCTGAAGATACAAAATCTGCTTTACTGGACTTAAGAATGGAATCATATATTCTCTGTATTTCAACTCTATAGACCTGTTTCCAGAAATGTGCATGGATCCGAGTGATGGATCTATGATCTCAGTGGATCTCGGAGCAAACTGCAGGTTAGAATCTATGATCCCACCGGATCCGACGCGAAAAATTTATCCTGGATCTGTGATCTCACAGGATCTGACGATAAACCAAGAACATGGATCTATGATCTGAGTAGATCCCACAATGCACAACATTTAAAATCAGGTTTCCAAGTGTTTCTATGTCATTAAGTGCCACAAAACTATTGAAAAATTTTCTAATCGCTGATCTCACTGGATCTAAAGCAAAACAATCATATTCGGGTCTATGATCCCCACGGATCTCTCGACGAATTACAGAGCTGGATCTATGATCCCGACGGATCCGAGATAAGGATCTGTGGGATCAGATCCCAGATCCATTTTCTCGGATCCATGCACATGTCTGTTTGTTTCCACACTTACCAGGTCAGGTGTCAAAATGATAAATACGTCATGTCATCATGTCAGGCCAGCATTGCGATTCTGGGTAGGTATGTCAGCGCATATTAACCGTGTGTCTCCAGACATTTCGTGATTGAAACGTGCCAATATGAGAAGTGGTGTTTGTCCCATGCTTTATGGTGGGTGTCAAGGCCTCGTAAAGGTCAAGGTCAAGGTTATTTGGGGTGTCAAATAACCTTGGATGGCTTCGGTTCACTTTTTCGAATGTTACAAGCTTGTGGGCCAGTTTTTGGAGCTGATTTCGAATGAAGCACCCATTTGAACATTTGATATTTATGTTTAGTTTTGGTTCATATGTAACATATTACGAAGCTGTCAGTCAGGCTAAGAGCTTACTTACCCTCATTCTGCTGTGTGGAGGTGCCACTGACAGTTGTGAAGAAGGCGTCGAGCCTCAGCAGTGCCCTCGGCAGACGGTCTCGGGGTCCCGGCGCAGACGGTCTCGGGGTCCCGGCGGACCGTGCGGGTGGCTCCTGAGGCGGCCCAGAGGGTGCTCCGGGTCTCGCTGCCTCCGCGCTCCGTGTGTCACTGCCGGACGCCGCTGACCGCAGTGAGAGTAGAACCCCACACCCATCGATTGCGGTTCCGGTCTGACCGGCCGCCGCCGCCGCGGGTGCGCTCAGCACCGGCCAGTGTCGAGATGACCGGAACGGCAGGCTGCAAGCGGCCCGGTTCTCATGCACGTGCGGCGAGCCAGTTCTGGCGCTAGGTGCCGGTTGGTTTCAAAGCAAGCTTTACCCTGCACGGATTCACATCCGTTAGCGATTTATACATCGTCTGCAGTCGGTCTAAAATATACATTCCCTCTTCCAATGAGATAACGGAAAAGTGCTCACCTGAAGGATAGTGTATTTAAAGGCACGTACATTCGTAATATATCCCGGCGGCCGCTGGGCCTCAGCGCCACCCGCCGGCCGCTGGGGGGGGGGGGCATATAGTTGCCCCCCCTTTACTTCTGCGACGATATCGTCGCAACGCGAAGAGATAGAGAAGCGAAACTTTGCACACATCTTCCTGAATACCTAGCCGAGATTGTGTCCAAATTTGGTGTCGATCCCATTTGAAATGACGTCACAGTGACGTCATAAGTGAAATTATAGATTTACGACTCTCATATTCCTCACGATACATCAGATATATGGGACCGAACATAAAGGGCCGATTATTGGTCAGAAACTAGATGGAAGTGTAGTTAGATGTTTTAGGATGACAGCAGGTGCTGTCTAGTTCATTTACAGTTGAGTTTCATGCTCAGCGTCATCAGAAACGGTCCATATCGGAAAACTACAAAACTGTATGACGTCACTGTGACGTCATCTTAGGTGCTACAACCACCAAACTTTCCTCAAACATTGCCGAGGTATTCATTTGAAGCTATGCCAAGTTTCACACTCGTAGCTCATCAGGTTTCGGAGATATTTCACAAAACGTAAAGGGGGGGGGCAACTTTATGCCCCCCCCCCCAGCGGCTCGTGGGATATTTTGCTGCATCAGCCTTCTTACAAAAAAAAAACACTTGTTAGTTTCAGTGCTTTCGGTCATTTAATATCTATTTGGTCTTTGACCGTTTTCAGGGCTGTTGGGTCACAAATAATACTGCGGCTAGACGTCGTGCTGATACGACTGTCGTGTGATGCGTCGGAGCGGCTGCGCATGTCCCGTTAGGACCGTCATGTTTCAACGGGACAGGCCATCCAAACATTGGACAGTCACGCCGGAGACGTTCGAAGCCTTCTCTGGAGCCGTCTGTGCTTTCCCGCTGGCTGTGTGAGCTCACCGAGGGTCAGCCCGGAGCGGGGAACTATGATCGAGTATCCTCAGGGTATTGTTATATTTACCTATAACTGACCTTAACTGATAGCAACTCGCATATTAATCGAATCGTCATGCCGGTTACCTGCTTCCTGATATTGCTAAGTTTATTTAATCTTGAACTATGAGTATCTCACGCTTATTTTCGCACATTTTACTAACTATGTAAGCAGTTGCGTACCTACTGATATTAATACTTTGAGTAAAGCTACCGATAGGCAATGGCGGACGATGGGCAACCGTCATGTTTTAACCTGCGCCCCGCTGGGGGTCCTGGATTTCCACGCCCCGCTGGGGGGGGAGTGCTTGAACATCGCCCTCTAACTCGGCTCCTGGGCCGTGTAGCGACACGAGGTAAGCGGCATTCGAAATAACATCCAAAATAAGGACGAAAACACGAAGTCATCTTTTAGGTGAGGTCAATAGTCAGGTCACCAGAAGTCATCAAAGGTAAAATGTTGCCTATCTCAACATTTTTTTTTTCGAAACAGTGGCACATCACTCAGGAACCGGTAGAGCTACAGCGCCGTAGAAAAGCACATTAAATAGCCCTTTTAACGCTCTTTCTGTCGCAAGCCCTGCGATTTGATCTAGGTCCAAAAGTTTAGCCTCCAGTGGGCAAAAACTCGAAAACTGGCCGTTTTTACGAAAACACTTCCTGTAATATTCTATAACTCAAGGAAGGCGCAGTTATTTTGCCAGCATCGTGTTTCTCTCGTCAAGACCCATCGAATGAACTATGATTAGACCATGAAAGATCAGCTTGAAAATTTGACCTCAGGCCAAGGTCATGACCTGACCGGAAAAGGTCATGCTGCATATCAGTAGATCCGTTTCGTCGAGCCACAACATATCTAAGGCGTTTGCATCGCTCTAGCATGTCTTTATCAGACGTTATCAGCGAAAAACTCAAGATACCATTCGTGATCTGAAATGACCTCAGGGACATAACGAGGGGTCATGGGTGCCTTATTCTGGTTCCGTGTGTCATGCTTACTTGTAGCTTGGTATTCGAAAGTATTTAGAATGACGTTTGTGTAAGAGAGGCGCATTAAATTGTCTCCCATTGGCTTAGGTATAATAGAGAGGGCGCAAAATTGACCTTACTGTATGTCACTGATATCCAAATTCCGAGCTACCAAACTTTGCTCATGCTATTGCTCTTATCAATTGCTGAAAGTTTCAAAACGATCGGTGACTAGGTGTAGCTATGGTAGGCTTTGGAACTTTTTTTAGGTGAGATGACGTGACCTACCTGGTAACCTGGTCCTGAGTGACCTTGAGCTGAAATTTTAACAGCATGTGTAGAAAAGATTTATGGAAAGGTGTACCAGAAAAGGAGGCGCCCCGCGCCGCCGTTTTAAGAGATATTTGTGTAAAGCCGCAGGGGGTGTTCAACCCCCCCCCCCCTCCCCCAGCAGGGAGCGGGTTAAACATGTCGTAACTATAATCAACCAAGTCTAGACAGGACGACACGCTTTCTAATGTGTTCATGCTTTAGGTGTAAGCCTTAACTCGTTCATGGGTACAAAAACCATGCACATGACCTCATTTGATGCAAAGGAAGTGTCCGCTGTTGAAACATTCTGAGGCAACAAGTGATGTAACGCTGCATCTCCGGAATTACAACAGATAAGCGGCCAAACCGGTCAAACAGCCAGGCTGTTCCGCACAGTCCGCAATCCCACGGGGGTCTTGAATCAGCGCGTTTCATCACAAGTGTGTATCAAGTCGCATGCTAGGAAGACATCACCTATCCATCCGCCTCGCTGAGCGACAGGGACTCGTGATACCGCCATGTCCGTCCGCTGACGCAGACCAGGTCAGCCTGCTTACGGGACGGTACTGAGTGCGAATGTGTCCTTAATCTGATTACGCACAAACTGGTTCGGGAGTATATCACACATTGCCGGCCCGGTAGCACTCGTAATACTAACCAGTGATAAAGGAGTGGCAGATAAATCGATGGCTTCGAGGGACAAAAGACTTTTGTCTATTGTTACGGTTTTGAATCGCGATCCCTATGAGCTGATTTTGACAACTTGGAATTTAGTAGACAGGTGGCAATGACCAAGCTTTGTAATCAAATCAGAGAGCTGCCTGTTAGCATGTTGGACATCTAATAACGGCGTGTCCATAAAACGGATACTCGAGCTGTATCTGTGGTGTAATTAGAACCATACGGACATAACTATGCAGAAAACGAATTAGATACCAACCCAATACCTATCTGCTTTGCCTAGTGCTTTCCATTTTAGAACGGAGATGTGCGATTTTGCTATTGTTTTTTTTGTAAAACATGCATACTTTTTATGGCTAAATTCGTGATCAGTGCTACGAGCCGATTTGTTTTGAGTGTTTTCGTTAAAAATGAAAACGTCTGCACTGTTGTATGCCGGTGAAAAAGTCGAAAAGTTTTGATGGCTAGGACAAGGAAGCAAATATACCTACTCAGGGACTGAAGGCGAAAAATAAAACAAATTTGAATAAAAAATAAAGATAAATAAAAAAAAGCTGCACCACACCCCCAAAAAATAGTGGGCCAAAACCGAGGAGGTTTCCGTTTTTGGAGGGGTTACGACCCCAGGCCGTGAACTGTGGCCGCTCCCTGAGCAAAGTCCTGGCTACGTGCCTGAATATACTTAAGGTACCTACATCAGACAGCCATTCTTTCCGTCGGTTACGAACAAGAATCCGTTACTTCTTAGCACGCCTGCACCAGAATCAATTAAAGTCACACATTCCTACCTACACCGAATGAGAGCGAATGCCAGACCCGTTTATAATAGGAAGCGGAAGAAAGTGAGAGATGGCTAGCATGATTGCGTAGTACCTGAGCTCTGCAGAGTGTGGAAGCACAACTTTCGAATGCAGTGCGGATACGATTGCGCAAATACAGAGCTCCTCTGACGCTGGAGGTCGCTGATTGGATGGTTTCCTCGCACCGTCCTTGGGCAGAGGGCTTCACTCGGTGACTAGATCAGCCCGCGTGCACATGCGGGCCGGGTCTCTGCAGTAAGTGCAAACACCGCACTGTGCCGGCTCGGAAAAGTGAATCGTGATTTCCCGCTTGCATCGCTGGAAGAGCGGAGCGCAGAACAACAGGTTGGTACTTTTTGAATAGTTGTTGCGCTCTTCTACAGTTTATAATTATGCTTCTCATCCTTGTAAGTAATATCTCTGTATTGCATTGTTTTATCTGTAATGCATATTGCATATCATAGAGCACTCAACGCTTTACGTTTCAACGGTTGACATGCCTAAATGTATAGTAAGTTCCTGGCGAACGACATCATTGCAACTCTCGACATACCTTTTGCCTATGCAGTGCTTATGCAACATGCATTGGCATTTTCGTCTTGCTTTTCTTACTTTCTTTAGTTGACTTTTCCTAGGCATCAAACCGCACCAGCTAATTGTATTTCATTTCGATTTCCAGTTCTGAAAAACAGTTCTGCAGACGGCGTAACATCGATTATTGCCCCGGGCGCAATACTCTCACAGCGATGAGGTCCTCATTCGTTCTGGTGAGCTTTAGACGTTTGCTGTAATGTTGATAGATGTGTCGTGACTCGTGATAGTAACTTTGCTAAACCAAATAAAACATTTGTCATGATTTGATCATCAGTGATTGGCACTTGCACATCACATTACCTATGACTTCTTGCAGCCACTCGTTGTGACTGGCCATCTGACGTGAGCCCCTCCTGCAGATGCTGTTGGTGTCGGCGGCCGTCACCTAC